AATTTCACCATTTGCCACTTCATTCATTTTTTTTACAGAACACAAGTCGTGAATAATATTGATATCATTGTTCTTGTTTGTCATTAGAGAGCTCGCTGAAATTCAATCCATGGTAATAACCCTCGCATTAACCTTTTTCCACGACAGAGAAAAAGTAAAACCCAAATTCAAAATGGATAAATGAAATCTTTTAGGAATTGCTGTTTACAATTTCATTTCATTTTCCGAGTTCGATCAATTCTCGTCCGATTTTATGATTATTATATGTTTCAATGATCATTGATGATGATGATGATGATGATGATGATGATGATGATGATGATGATTAATAAGCCCACGATCAGATTACGGATTCTTTTCTTTGGGCAAATTGAAAAAAAGAAAGTTTTCTTGTTAGTTCTTACATAGTTTAATTAATATTAGTAATTAACGTATCAAGAATGCTTTATTGTCGTCTGTTTGTATGCGTTCCAAAAAAATAAATGTTTTCCATTTTAGATTAGGGTTTTGAGTATGCTGGTTTATAACTGCTAATTATTTTGTGAAATTTGATTAATTTCATAGGGTACCAAGAAAGTTATAACTAAGGAAGACTGGGAAAAAAAACTCAACTATGTAAAAATTAGAAAAGAAGACATGAATAGATTGGTGATGAATTTTCTTTTCACCGAGGGTTATGTGGAGGCTGCAGAAAGATTCAGATTGGAATCTTGGACAGAACGTATCCGCTTTTAATTTTTTCATGTCCAATTTTGTTGATATGCTTGTTTGTTGTCATTGTAGTTTTTTTATTGTTGCAATGTAGTTTTAAGAATATAATTGGTTGTCCTTATGGATAAATAGCGGATATGGATCTTGCAACTATCACAGTTCTTATGGCGGTTAATAAGGCGGTGCAGTCTGGTCGTGTGGGGGATGCAATCGAAAAAGTTAATGATTTGAATCCTGAGGTCTGATAGTCTGCCTCTTTTGTTTCTTTTCATCATAGATAGGAAAAATGTCTGTTAGGAGTTGACAAATTACTTGATTGGAATTGCTTGATGCTTTCCATTTTAATTCAATAGTGATGTCAATTGAAATATTTGAATGCAGTTACTGGATACAAATCCCCAACTATTTTTCCATCTCCAACAGCAAAGGTTGATAGAATTAATAAGGAATGGATACCTATTTGAGGCATTGGAATTTACTGAAAAGGAACTTTCTCCAATAGGAAAGCAAAATGTAATTCTTTTTGCTTCTTGAATGTCTTTATGACTACTCTAATGTGATCCTTGTCAGTTAAACAAATACTAGTACCAAGTTTTATGTTTTGGAATTTGTCCTTGCATACGTTGAATCAGACATTCCCGTCTTTCTACGATGTTGATAGAAAGTTTCTTGGGCATTTTACTTTTACAACTTTGATTCTAATATTCATTCCATTGCAAGTTCAGCAAAGCTTTTTAGAAGAATTGGAGAGGACTGTTTCGTTGCTTGCTTTTGAAGATGTAACCAGATGTCCAGTTGGTGAGCTGCTTGATGTATCACAGCGTATGAAGATTGCTCGTGAGGTGAATGCAGCCATCCTTACCAGCCAAAGCCATGATAAAGGTGGGTACCTGTTCTAAAATGTACTTCGAGTTGTGATTGATGGCATTTAGGAAAGATGAAAGATTTTTAATACAGATTTAACTGAGTTTATTGAAATATATCAAGCTACTTACCCAATAAGTATCCATTTTTAAATCTCCAGTTTAAAGGCCTGGTTCTCTTGGCTAATTATTCTTGCCACAAAAATGTGGAAAGATTCTCAATAAAATGTCATACATTTGCCTTTTAACGTGAGAACCTTGAACTATAATCCGCTTGAACCCTGATCAGTCCTCCAATTCCTGTATACTTACTTCCTTATAACAGATTAAAAAGCAAGAAAATTGTTAACAAAGCAAGCACGATTGGGAAATAGAGAATGGTAATTGATGGGATCTGGACCTGTAGTATAGATAAATTTTCTATTCCACCCCCATATCTTTGAAATCATTTGCAATTTTAAAGCTGGCAAGGTTTCTCAGTGCTGCTTATTGATAATTGAATACGATATTTGCAGTGTGGTGGTTTTATAAATTTAAAAGATTGTGCTGTCTTAACTAAGGTGTTTCTGGGATTCTTTTATCTTGCCACCGGTTGTTCACTTAATCAATAAGAAAGTAGAGATTGCTTCCTGAGCTACAATCTACTTGATTGCTTGGAAATTCAATACTTGTTACTCTTTGTTAATCAGCCATTGTTAGAAGATGCATGGTCACTTGTTACTCACTTCTGGAGGTGCTCTGACGTACGATGACCATGCTGCTTAAATAATTTTTATCTGGAGGAAATATCTTGCTTTCTCTCAGAATATGTGGTCTGAATTTAGAATTTGGTTCAAAAAATTCCAAAAATGTTGCATTTTCCAAATCTTCATTCTTGGATTTTTATACAAGTGGGATTATAGATTGATTAGCAGATCTTGTAAACATTTAAGGATAAGTAACTTAGGCTTTCTAAAATGACATTTGAAAATATTTCTTGATTGAAAAGCACCAAAAATCATGTTATGCACATCTGCACTATTAATTGGAGTTCCAAACTCAGTTGCAAGTTTTCCATGTGTTTAACTTGGGATTGATTCTCAGATTGTTATATTTTTTATTTATAGCATTGGAATATATTTCTTGTTTCCTTAAATTGCAATTTGTGTTTGATTTTATTTAACTTGGGTTTGTTTTGTTGTTTATTTATATTGTTTGAAAATTTGATTGTATTTGGTCCTTGGATTGCATTTTATGTGATTTTGGGATTTTAAACTATTATATTGCATGACTTTGGTTTTGAACTATTCGTTTGATAGGCTTAGAGTAATGTGTTTAAATGTTGCAAACAATTTTTTTCAAGAAACTCGTCAAAATCCATGGCTATT